TTATGGAATATATTCATTATCTAAACCATTTTACTTTTCAGGGGCAACGTTGGCATCAGGGGAGTGGATTCTTTGGACGAAACTGGCAAGTAGGAGATGTAGTGGGCTGTATGATCAATCTGGAGGACAAGTCTATTATATTTACACTTAATGGAGAATTACTTATAACCAATAAAGGTTCAGAACTTGCTTTTGCTGACTTTGAAATAGATAATGGTAAGCTGATTCCTGACCTTTAGAATATATCACGGTCTTATCTTTCAGTTGTTTAATAGGAGTTAGTATAGGAATGTATAGTATACTACAGCCCAATGTAGTAAAGTATAACTACAGTTAGTAATTAAGAATAATAAATACTCCAACAATGAAAGCATTTTACTTAGCTGTTGTAGAATTTTCTTCTGTCATTGAACTGTGACTTTTTAATATATTGGTTACTATTTGGCAATTTTTTAATTTTTGTCAGTTACTTTCTGTTTGGTCTGTTACTTTCATTGGCTTATTCTGACAGTTGTACATAATCATGGAAATACAGCACTAATTAAAATGTGAAAAACACATATATTCTGAAGAAAAGTGTCTTAATCCACTGGAGACTCCTATTCAAGAAGAAAAGCTACTGAATACAATTAATACCTTCTGCAATAGGACATGGTTCTAAGTAGCATAGACTTCAATATATTCAGTATTTTTAATCTTGCAACCTCAAACAGATATAAAGCCTGCTGGCCTCAGTAGAATTCATGTTTGAATAGATACATTTAGTCAAGTATGTTAATGAATTGTAATAAATTCCATTTAAATTATGTTATCTAATTTACTGTTTGTCCTAATGAGCTGTTCATTAGGTTTTGTCATCATTGTAAAACTTTTTGAGTAATTTTTATTGTAAAAAAATCAGACTTGATGTATTTGCTGTTAATGATATGTATATTTGTATTAATTCCAAGAGGATTAATCAGTATGCGTGTTATGTGTATAATTAAACACATGCAAATACATATGCAGACATAAAATCCTATTAGGAGAAAGTGAGATCTCATAATAGCTTGTTTCTCCTAATAGCTTGTTTATCTCTTGTGGTGCAGTCATATGATCCATTCAGAGCATGCTAGGGACGATTGTAATTTTCTTATTTCTTTTCTTCCAAAGCTGTAAGACATTAGTTCCTAAGTTCTGATATATATAGCCATTTCAGTCACCTTCACTTAACTGCAATCCAAGCTATAATTTCCCATATTATATACCTTGTTCGCTACTCAGATGTACCCATAGATATTGTCCTACTCTATCCATGTAACTTTGATCAATTGAGAATTTTATATGACTTTTTAGAGATTCTGTGAAAGGTGCAGTTTCCTTATTTCCTATAGGTGATGTTATTTGTCTGGGTATATTATTAGATCTAATATTAGATATTAGATGTTTCAAGACTTCTCCCTTAAGAGGATTTTATAACATTGGATTATACTGTCATGTTTACTAGTCACCATTAGAAGCCATTATGTGACCAGTTTTAGTTTCATTGGAACTTATCTGGCATGAATAAACTAGGTACCCCAAATCTAGAAAATATCTTTCAAGCCAACATACTGTTGCCCACATCTCAACAATACAATGTAAATGAAATGTAGTGATTTGTTGTTCTAACCATTTAGTTTTGTCTGATTCTTGGCAACTTTGTAAGCAAGTACCTCTCCATGCTTTCCTGTAAAACACAGCTTTTTTCAATTGTTGGATGTTCATCTTTGTTTCAGTTTTGATGTTATGAAGCTGGCATGTTCTATGCTTGTTTCACTAACCATCATTGACTTCTCCAATGCATGCATGACATGGCCAAAGTAAATGAGATGTAGTCTTGTGATTTTGGCTTCTGATGATGTGTCTGTTTTTATATAATTCAGCAACTCTCTGTTGGTTGCTATGTCTGTCCATGTATACACAATAATTTACACCAGCACCACAGTTGAAAGGCATCAATTCTTCTTCAGTCAGCCTTTCTTAGTGTCCAACTCTCACACCCATACACCATTCAATGTAGTGATACTTAGAATTCTCCATTCATAGAAAAAGTACATAAATATATCCACATAAGGGTAGGTTTTACATCAGCTTTTCCTTTCTAACTGAAAGTATGTTCATCAGTAGGGCTTTCAGAGTAGTCATACAATCCTAGGAAGTGGTACAATTAATTTAATGAGTTTTGACAGATTCATGCCTCTGCACAATCCAATGCACCATTCATTTTTGAATTTATTGCGCTGCCCAGCTGTGTAAATCATGCCATTGAACTGTTTAACTGCTCCTTCTTATATACCACCTACTTTTTAGTAGTCATTATATTTTAACTATTTCAAAAAAAAAATATGGAAGAATAACAAAAGCCAAATAATATAATTCTTGAATGTTCTGTTCTACTGTATTACTGTTTGCCTAAAATCCCCACTGGACATGTTTAGATTCTTGTTATTTTATATTAATTGCTGCAGATCTAACAAGGTCCCCATTAGCTCTCTGCTTTACAGATAACCAATTCATGCCTATCTAATATTCTTGTTAGTGATTTTAACATCATCCTACTGCTTGTTATGGAAGCCTTCAGGCAGAGCTTTGTTATTAGACTTAAAAATGTTTTCATAAGACAATTTATATGTAGTTCAAGAAAAGCCACTTCTTTATTTTTTAAATTTGGGATACTTGGCTGTTGATTGTTAGGAAGGAAAGAAAGAAGGAAGGAAGGAAGGAAGGAAGGAAGGAAGGAAGGAAGGAAGGAAGGAAGGAAGGAAGGAAGGAAGGAAAGATCTGTTTATATGACACTTGATTATAATATTTCAATATAGTAAAGTTCTCACTGTTTGGACAAAATACTTTTAGTGGGTATACTTTAGTCATTGATTAATTATTTTTTATAATTTTTAAAAATCCTCAAAATATAAATAGTTTAATTAAACCTAAATGTGATCTAAATCTAAATCTAACTCCACTATAATCTCTTCTTGATACAGGTTTTGTTCCTATATGTTCACTGGGTTTGTCACAGATTGGCCGAATGAATTTTGGAAGGGATGCCAGCACTTTCAAATACTACACAATGTGTGGGCTTCAAGAAGGTTTTGAGCCTTTTGCTGTCAACATGAACAGAGAAGTCACCATGTGGTTTAGCAAACGCTTACCAACCTTTGTCAATGTGCCAAAAGGGCATCCTCATATTGAGGTAATACTAAATAGTAAGAAGAGCCATAACACCATTAAATATAATCTACAATTAAGTACTCTAATAGGTCTGAGGCAGTGGTGGAATTCAGCCGGTTCGCACCAATTCGGCAGAACCGGTAGCTAAGTTTTTGTTGCCCAGGACCAGAACGGACTTCCAGAAGCAGCATCCACACAGAGAACCGGTTGTTCACATATTTGAATCCTACCACTGTACATTTTGAATGTTGAGAACATCTCACGCAAATATTCAAAAAATGACAATCATGGGGGTTTGCAACCAGTCATAAAATGTAACAAGAAAGTAAGTCAGTGAAGCTGTTACTTGTACCCTTCTGATCGTACCCTTTTTTTTATCTTTGTCTTTTTTCCTTGGGAAGAGGCCACTGTCACCACCATGCTTAATTTCCAAGATTCCTGATGTGATCAGAGGGGCCTAAAATGGAGATTATACTGAAATTGGTACTTTATTCACTACAATGGAAATTTTTAATTTCCTTATGTGAATATGAAAACATATTTTTAAATATTAAACAAATTAAAATTAAATGGAACAGAGAGCCTATGAAGCATAAAAAAAGTTATTATCAGGCATGTTGATGAGCTCACCTCAATGTTGCCTATCTCTCCTTTGTGTCATTAAGAATTTATATTGACAATGTAATATAGGAGATAATTTAGTAAGTCTTATCATGGGTTGGTAGTGCTTTTTAAAAAAAAAATGCTTGAAAAAACAAATTTCTGATAATTTCAGGTTACAAGAATTGATGGAAACATTGACAATCCACCACGTTTAAAAGTTACTCATAAGACATTTGGAACACAGAATAGTAATGCAGACATGATATATTGTCGCTTGAGCATGCCAATTGAATTTCATTCATCTTTTACCTACAACCATGGTTTTGAATTTGAGGGTTTCTACAAAAGGTTAGATATATTTTCAGTCCTTTAACTGAAACCTATGTTTTAAATTCCATCTCCCTTTTTTACTTATGGAATTATTAGTTATTTCCACTTAGCTTGTATCCTTCTATGCGAAGTTCAAATCTTTATGCCAAAACAGAAGTCTTATTGATTCTGCAGCTAGTGATTTTCAGTGAACAGAAATACAAAGAGTCAGGAAACAGATCTATTCCAGGCACTGAAGATCTTGTTTCAAGTGTTATATTCTTCTCCCTATGCTATAGGCAGTGGTGGGATTCAGCCAGTTCGCACCACTTCGGCAGAATCAGTAGCTATTTTTTTGTTGCCCAGGCCCAGAATGGATTTCTGGAAGTGGCATCTACACAGAAAACCGGTTGTTCACATATTTGAATCCCACCACTGGCTATAGGTAATCCTTGTCCTTAGCATATATGATTTTTAATTAAAATAGTTACAGAAGTATATTCTGAGACTACCTGAATTTGTTTTTGAAGTGACAGAATTCATGCATTACTTTTCTGTTTTAATTCCATCTAGAATATATTTTATTCCATTCAGCATTCAGCATTCAGGTTAAAAAGTGCTTTTTCAGTTCTATTTTAGTGTTTTATATGGTCATTTAACTCTCTATTATGTTGATAATCTTATTGCAGAAAACAGAACCAGGAAATACCTATTCATACCACAACAGTAAGTATTTAGACTTTTAAAAAAAAATAATAATGGACTTATTGTATTGGCTTAGATGTTGCCCCAAATTAGAACATTTTAACTTAATTGAAACCAGTTCTGAGCAGTTAATCCAGTTATGTTCAGCTATATATTGGACTTTGATCCCTCTCCTACTGTAGTTCCAAACCATATTCTCCCATCTATTAGCTTCAATGCATAGCATCCCATTTTTCTAAGCAAGTTGCTAGCATGCTAGCATATATGTATGTATGTATGTATGTATGTACAGTATGTATGTATGTATGTATATGTGTGGGTGTGGGTGTGTGCATATGTACATACTGTATATGTATAAGATTGAGAAAAAAGTCCTCATTTATATAGTTAGTGGGTTTTATAATGAATAATTAGCAATTTCTGTAAAATTGAAAATCATATGTTAGTAGAATTCTGCACTGCTTTGAGTAACTGTCCTTTGATAAGCAAAATATTTTTTCTATACAAGCAACTCATGCTGATTCTATCAATGAAGTCTTTGATTTTCTCTATTTGGTGTGGAATAAATTTTCTCTAAGAAAGTATTGTATTAATATTTATATTTGTCATTCCAGTATTACTACTTAGTGAAGATCTTTGCTGGTCAAGACCCGTCTTCAGTCTGGATTGGTTGGGTAACTCCTGACTACCACTTTTACAGTGAACATTTTGACCTAAATAAGAATTGCACAGTAACAGTTACTTTGGGAGATGAAAGAGGGAGAGTCCATGAAAGGTTTGGGCTTAGAAATTACCTAATGAATAAATTCCTTCTTTCCTCCCTTCCTCCCTCCCTCCCTCCCTTCCTCCCTCCCTCCCTCCCTCCTTCCCTTCCTTCCTTCCTTCCTTCCTTCCTTCCTTCCTTCCTTCCTTCCTTCCTCAGGAACAATTATCATTAAATCAATATTTGAACCATAATGTATGCTCTGTATCAATAACAATACTTAGCAATTACTTTATCAAAGACAACAATTCACTCTTTTTCTTGAATATATTATCTAAACACTCATTACTTTGTGGTATAAACTATAGCAATCCATGATTTGGATAATCAACTCTTTAAAGTCACTCTGACTTTAAATTCAATTAAAATTTAATTATGGAATAGTATTTTCATAAATTAACCAACAGTTGGTATAAAAAAATCTTTAAAAAATTGCTTTGTATTAGTTATTTGAAAAATAAGCATTTAAATGGAGCTTTTGGCTGATCCTTGAAATACAAAATAAATTGGATTTTAATAAATCCTTAATTATTATAGATGTCCAATGCCTGATGTTCATTGAATTTACTTTCTAAACATTGGTAATAATTACCAGATGGTTTATGAAAACTATAAAACCTTCTTGTAGAATATCTGTAACTTCAGACCCAGCAAATCCAAACATTTTTTTTATTTATTTTATTTATCAAATTTCTATAACTTATTTCTGCTTTTTCTCTTTCCATGGAATACAATATGCTATTCCACATAAAATATATATTTAAATAAAGTTTTGGGCAATACTTAAGATTCACTTTCTGGTTGCTTTCTTTCAGTGTAAAACGTAGTAATTGCTATCTGGTTTGGGGAGGAGAATCATTTGTTAATTCTCAAAGATCAAATCGTGGTAATGTTGATCTAGAAATTGGATGCCTTGTCGAATTAGCTACTGGAATGTTGTCATTCACAGCCAATGGAAAAGAACTGGGAACTTTCTATCAGGTATCAGTATTTTTTTCCAGAAATTTCTACTTTTCATGTTTTGATAATGTGAATTAATGTTTTATGAAAATATAAACATCTATGTTTATATTGATTAGGTTGTACATGCTCAGTTGTGTGATGAATTTTGACTGCACCATTTTAATTTTATGAATTTATGAATTTATAATTTTAATTATGAAATATTAGAAGAAAATAATCCAGACTCCCTCAAATCTGCTGGTTAATCATTTGAAATTATATTGGAGTTTCTGCATATATTATATACAGCAAATTCTAGCTCACATTGATGTATTCATGAACTGATACTGGTTGTGGAGAATGCAATTGTTTATAACCAGAGTTATGATGTAAGGGTATTATCTAATATGTGTGTTTAATTGGAGAGCAAAATATTATAGATTGGATGTTGAAAATGCATTATCGCTGTATCCTGTTATGGAATCAGTCCGATAGTTACTATTTGAAGAAAATAATAACAGCCTTTATTTAAAAAAAAAATTAAACTAAATCTATAGATAGGTCTACCTGAGGATTAAAATTCACCACCATGCTAGTCAAAACAGGCTGCTGTTTATATCAATCCTATACTTAAAGTCTAACCAATTTTTGTTGCAATTTCCTCTGAGAAAAAGGCTGTCATTTCTTGTGAAAAAATAATGATTCTGCCTGTGACATTCTCTTCTACTTCAGTAAGGTGGAAGATTAAAACTGAGGATGAAGTTAGTAATGCAATATTTGGGGAGATATGTGTTGAACAGAAAATAAACCTGATAATGAAATATAAATTATGAAGCAAATATTATATGATTTATATGAAGATATTATGAAGCAAATGTTATACAATTCCTATGAAGACAAAACAATTTGAATATTTTGGGTGGTGGAAGATATGGTGTTTGGATAAAACATTAACTATTACAATACAAGCACAGAACAAAACTATTAAAGGATAATTGTTAACAGTTTTGAATTCTTACTCAGAGTCTTTTTCCTACATTGTTCCTAGGTGTATAGCAAATAATAATAATAATAATAATAATAATAATAATAATAATAATAATAATAATAATAATAATAATAATAATAATAATAATAATAATAATAATAATAATATATTTCAAACAAATGGCTGTCCAGTCTCTTCTTAAAAACTTCCAGTGTTGGAGCATTCACAATTTCTGGAAGCAGCTTGTTCCACTGATTAATTGTTCTAACTGTCAGGAAATTTCTCCTTAGTTCTAGGTTGCTTCTAGAACAGAACAGAACAGAACAGAATAGAGCTGGAAGGGACCTTGGAGGTCTTCTAGTCCAGCCCCCTGCTCGGGCAGGAGAACCTATATCATTTCAGACAAGTGAATGTCTAGTCTCTTCTTAAAAACCTCCAGGGATAGAGCACCCACAATTTCTGAAGGAAAGCTGTTCCATTGGTTAATTGTCCTCACTGTTAGGAAGTTTCTCCTTAATTCTAGGTTGCTTCTCTCTTTGGTTAGTTTCCAACCATTGTTTCTTGTCTTGCCCTCTGGTGCTTTGAATAATAGCTTGACTCCTTCTTCTTTGTGGTAACCCCTGAGATATTGGAACATTGCTATCATGTCACCCCTAGTCCTTCTCTTCATTAAACTAGACATATCCAATTCCAGCAACATACCCAATTCGTAGTAGTAGTATTTGTGGTCTCTGCCATTATACATATGATTTTATTTCTGCTTATAGTACTGTTCTTTTGTTCATTATATTTCTATACTGCCAGATGTCTGGAATATCCCAAAGGTTTTTAATCAGACTGTAATCCTCATTCAACTGCACTTGTCTAGAGGCAAACAACTATTGTTTTAGCAGCACAGAAGCAATATTTTGAGAATTTTGCATCTATATTTCCTCAGATAGTTTAGATGTAAAGATCTCAAACTCAGCTCTAATAATAATAATAATAATAATAATAATAATAATAATAATAATAATAATAATAATAATAATAATAATAATAATAATAATGATAAAATTGGAAGGGACCTTGGAGGTCATCTAGTCCAACCCCTGCTCAGGCAGGAAACCCTATACCATTTCGGACAAATGGCTGTCCAGTTTCTTCTTAAAAACTTCCAGTGTTGGTGCATTCACCGCTTCTGGAGGCAGGTTGTTCCACTGGTTAATTGTTCTAACTGTCAGGAAGTTTCTCCTTAGTTCTAGGTTGCTTCTNCCCCCTATACTATACCTATACATTTGGTTTTTCTTGCCTAAATGTAGAACCTTACTTTTTTCACCACTGAATTTCATTTTGTTAGATAGCGCCCAGTGTTCAAGTCTGTCAGATCCTCCTGTATCTTAAGCCTGTCTTCTGGAGTGTTGGCTATTCCTGCCAGCTTGGTGTCATCTGCAAATTTGATGAGTTCCCCATCTATCCCCTCATCCAAATCATTGATGAAGATGTTGAAGAGCACTGGGCCCAGAACAGAGCCCTATCCTTAGACTTCAGACAAAACCGTCATATAAACATCTTCCTTTTCTCTCTCCCTCCCCCCAGCGTTCTCCAAGGAATCAATAATATCTTTTGTTTGTTTGTTTGTTTGTTTGTTTGTTTGTTTGTTTGGCACAAGCCTGCTGATGTGGTTCCTCTGACATAAATTGTGTCTTGTCTCCTGCACCTTGTTACAGTGCTTAGTTAATACTTTTTCTCAGATTTTGCAATGTATCATCTGCGATTGAATCAATTATTTTAGTGTGTTTAATGAGCAATAGCAAAGTAATGAGCATTTTGGAAAAAGAGTACTCATCATATAGAGCGGAGCTTGTGGCATAATATCCCACCCTTTGGCATTCTTGATATTTTACAGTTCTGTAAATGTGGCAGAATCCATTCAATTCTCAGTTTCTGCCCCTTGAGAATACACTTGACCAATGAAGTTTTAGACAGTCACCATAACAACATTCCTACCCTCTTCACTTCGATGATTATTTTTTAACCTTAAATTTCAGAAATGCTTATTTCTACATCACCACACTGTTTGGGGTTTTTATTTGGAGACTAGTATTAACTAATCTCAATACTAACTTTTCATTTTGATTCTTCCAGTGCCCATAGTCTTCACACATAAGATAGAAGTAAATAGTGACTGTCTTTTTCTGGCTCCAGACAATAAAGCTTTAAATATTGATTCTAAGGTTCATTCCAGTATCTTCTACACCTATTCTTTTCTTTACAAATTAGGTTTGTATGTCAACCAGGTTAAATCCTCCCAGAGCTCATTGCCATATATCAAATTTATAGGTGTGGTAATTGATTTTATCTAGGACAAGATTTTCTTGCATATTCAAATGGTTTATTATGTCACCTCTCTGTATTTGGCTCTTCAGAACATCAGGTACGCTTAATTTTGAAGATTTTCAGCCTAAAGGCAGCAAATATTTGCCATCATTCACCTTTCCCTTTGACCTTGTAATAATGGTTTATCAAGGTGGTATTTCAATAAGACATAAATTTAAGGGCATACTTTTTTTCTAAATGGATTACAGTGTTCTTCCATGTTTGTGCCCAATCTTTTTTAACACTAAGACTTTAATCAAGATGTGTGACAGTAAAATCAGATTTATTACATTCATTATCTGTAAGCTTTGTATCTAATGACATGGAACATCATCAGTTTATTTATGGCTTTGCATGTATTTCTGCCTAGAATTAATGTGTATTTTCTAAAGCTTTGGTCTAGAGTGTGGAATTTGTATTCTTCAGTTTTTTCCATTTCAGGATTTATACTCAGATGATACTGAGGTTTTTGATTCCATGACTGTTCATTTTGAAAATAGCTTTTCTGGTTGAGCCAGTCAACTACAATATTTGTTCTACTGACAATTTTATCTTGTTTACCATATATAGGTAAAAGGGAAAATATAAGTCATTAGTCAGACACATGACACCACCACCACCACCATTAGCAGCCTTGAGCAGTAGACAGGCAGAATGTAGATAAAATAAAATAGTTTCCATCTTATCCAGAAAATGGTGATATCCATTTTCTTCTATGATTGACATACTATGAATGTTTCACTGTTTATTGTTTCATCTGTGCAGTTCTCCTACAATTCTCCCTTCAGTCCCATGCTCCTTTCCTTCCCGTCCCTTCCCTTTGCATAGAGAATTATTTTTTATAATTTAAAATTGCTAAAACTCAAAATTAAAAATAAGTGTTTGCTTTTTTTAAGAAAAGGTGAATTGAACAAATTTGGCTTCATAAGTATTCATGTTTGCTCATTTGGGAATGATGCTTCAATCCCCTCCAAAACCTGATCCCACTTCTTAATTTATTTTGTAATGTAATATCTATTTTCATTTTGCAATTAGATAAAATACAATAGGTGGGACAGTTGTATTTATATACAGGATCTGCATTCAGAAATGTCTCTAAGAACCAAATTGTGAAAGAAAGGATTTGCTCAACCTATTTGTGTTATGTACACATATCAGACACCATGTGCACCCAGGTGATATTTTTTTTCTTATCTATGGACATGGTTTTAATAGAAATATGTATAACTATTATATCATAAGCTTAAGCACACAGAACCAAATAGAATCTGTCCATGATTTATGAATATTAGTGTATACTCTAGAGAAGCAGAGCAAATTGGCCATCATCCCAAAGTAGGATTTGAAAAGTGATTATTATAATGCAGGCATTATTTTATAATCATTAGCAGAATGGAGGCCATTTGCACTGATATGTTTTCAATTCCTTTTAAGATGTGATTTTTCACATTTTAGGTGCAATGTTTTTTCTTTATTTATTAGATTCCCCTCATAAATAATTCACTGTTTTATTGCAGAGGGATTATACTTAAAGTGCAAAGTAAAAGGTGTGTATATGGATATATTTTTACAACAGATTTTATTCTAATTCATTCCTGCATTATACTCATTTTCTGGAGTCATTTAAATCCGTCTTCCAGTAACAAAATCACTCTGGTCTCTGGATACAACTTGTAGCAAAACATTTCTTGATCTCCTATATTCATTTAATTTTCTAACTGCTGGAATCTGTATTTTTTAATATTCTGAACAGCTGGCACCATGCTTATTTTACTTATTTCCGTGATGGCATCACATGTCAGGATTTTATTGTCAGTGCAGTATGCTGGGAACACTGCTGCTATCAATATAATCCTAGGCCAAAATCTATCACATTTTGTACTATTTCAGGATTGCATCCTTTTATGTGAATATTTATTTATTGACTTAAGTATTCTGTTGTTGAAATGATTTTAGAAATATATCATTACACAGTTTTTTTTCACATGTGCTGCTAATAGGCTTATATTGCATTTTAATTCTATTTTTCAGGTTGAGCCAAACACAAAACTATTTCCAGCTGTTTTTTTACAGCCTACGAGCACAAACCTGGTACAGTTTGAACTGGGTAAATTAAAGGTATTTTTTAATCAAATTACCATCAATAGATGTTGTGACTTTTAAGTAAATTCAAAGAGGCAAACTGTGTTAACTAGTCAATATATCTGCAGAGTATTACCTAAAAATAACTTCAATTATTGTTAAGCAAAGTGATTCATGAATAATCACAGGCAAATATTTAGCCTTGGGGCTAATCTCTGCTTCTATTATCTCCTTCCCCAAACAATATAGAGTTGCAGGATAGCATTTGGAAGATAATATTTTGGAAAACTGTAGTACCTTATTACATGAGCGCAGTAATGGCTCTCTCATATTTAGGGAATGTGAACCAAATTGTTTTATATTTAGTTAGGAAAATAAACTTAGGACCCTATAGCAATAGCACTTACACTTATATACCGATTGACAGTGCTTTACAGCCCTCTCTAAGCAGTTTACACAGTCAGCCTATTGCCCCCAACAATCTGGGTCCTCATTTTACTGACCTCGGAAGAATGGAAAGCTGAGTCAACCTTAAGCCGGTGAGAATTGTACTGCTGGCAATCGGCAGAATTAGCCTGCAATACTGCTTTCTAACCACTGGGCCACCATGGCAGTATGGTGCTATTTGATAAGATATCCTTCCATATACGGGGCAAACTCCATCTACATCAGTGGTTCTCAACCTTTTTAATGCCGCGACCCCAACCGGTCGTAAGTTGAGGACTAAACCGGTCGTAAGTTGAGGACTAAACCGGTCGTAAGTCGAGGACTAAACCGGTCGTAAGTCGAGGACTACCCAACCGGTCGTAAGTCGAGGATTTTCCCTGCCCGGGAGCGCCGCGCATGCGTAGTTCCACCCCCTGCGCTGGCCGAGGCGTAGCTGGCAAGCGGCAGAGACGGAGCAGGCCGACCACCAGCTGGCCCAGCCCAAGGGAGGTAAGGCACCCGCTGGAAAAGGGGAAAAAAATGGCAGACAAAAAAATGGCGGATAAAAAAAATGGCGGACAGTCTTGCTTGGCGACCCCCATGAAATGGTCGATCGACCCCAAATGGGGTCCCGACCCACAGGTTGAGAACCACTGATCTACATTATATGACATCTCATATTAAATTTGCTACATTACCCCAAGATGGCTTTGCTAACCTCTGTACCATTATGGTGCCTATTAAATGTGTGTGAACCATTGTTCCATTCCTTTCATATCTGCTTAAGAGTATTGGCAAATAAGGATGAAGAAAAAGGAACAGTACAGATAATTTGTTTTTCTTTCTAACCCACCTCCTGAGAATAAAATCAATGGAACTAGTTCTCTACATTTATTTAACAAACACACACACATAGTACATTATGCATGCAGAGTATTATTATTATTAAGGTTCAATTCAGAAAGTTTAAATTTCCATGTATGATTTTCTAGAACACCATGCCTTTATCAGCTGCAATTTTTAAAAGTGAAGAGAGAAATCCCATTCCTCAGTGCCCTCCTCGGCTGGATGTTCAAACACTCACACCGGTTGTCTGGAGCAGAATGCCAAACAGTTTCCTGAAAGTAGAGACTGATCGTGTCAGTGACCGCCATGGATGGCTAGTACAATGCCTGGAATCATTGCAAATGATGGCCCTTCATATTCCAGAAGAAAACAGGTATATATATATATATATATATATTTAAAAATCATAGAATGTATGAGTTGGAAGTTATAAGTCAACTAGTCCTACTGTTCCTAAACCATTTCCAGAGATTGGCATTTGCTCTTTATTTGAAAACTTCCACTGAGGAGGAATTCTAGGCAGATCCCATCATCAGGAATTTTAATTTATTCTAATTTTCATCCTGAATCTCCTTTTAATTTCAGTCTGCTAATCCTAATCCTTCTCTCAGTTTTAACAGAGAAGAGGCCCATCTCATTATATGTAACCTTTTAAGTTTTTGTAATTCTCTTATTTTTCCTTCGTCTTCTCTTCTGCATTCTCAACACACCTATATCTTCAGATATTACTCACAGACTTGGTTTCTAGAGCCCTTTCTGTTAAATCCTTGGATTCAATGACTAGTACAACAGGCATTGTGTGAACCAAATGTTTTCTTTAATGGCACTTAGAGTCATACAGGGAAAACGGAGATTCACAGGCCTCCTGCTTCTTCCTCTGCTTCAACCACCAACAACAAACAAGAACAGTCCGGGTAAAGTTGCTACTGCTCGCGCGCGCTTCCTTGCGCATGCGTGCAGGCTGTCGCCAGTTTGTCTGGCCCCCGGGCAGCTTCTGCAGCCCATTGCCATGGCAACTGCCCGGGCTTGCTTGCTGCAAGTCCCGGGACACAACACTTTCCATTCATTTTGAATAGAATAGAGCTGGAAGGGACCTTGGAGGTCTTCTAGTCCAGCCCCCTGTTCAAGCAGGAGAACCTATGCCATCTCAGAAAAATGTGACTGTCTAGCCTCTTCTTAAAAATGTCCAGTGATGGAGTGCCCATGATTTCTGGAAGCAAGCTGTTCCACTGGTTAATTGTCCTCACTGTCAGGAAGTTTCTCCTTAATTCTTGTAGTTCTCCAATGAGCCTGCTCCTGGTTCTTTCAAAAAGGTAGTATAATACTGTATATAATACTCCAAGTGTGATGTAACCATAACATGGCAGTTAATGATTATTTCTCATGATTAGACACAGTTTTCTGGTGGTGCATCCAAAATAACATTGGCTGTCTTACTGTTATACTGTTGCATAATGATATTTGCACATATTGAGCTGATGGTCTACTACTGCTACTGCTACTACTATTCCTAAATCTTTCTCACACGTAAGTTTTAACAGTCAATCCACAAATTGATATTGCCTGCTAGATTTATTTATTTATGTAGCCATTTACTTTTATTTATTTTTTGTTATTTATCTAGAAAATTTATATGAACACCTAATTTATTATATTCATAGTTATACCAAATCACAATTCTTGCAGTATTTTGTGACTTTCTGTTTAGATTATAACAAATCCAAACCCAAAAAAATCTCTAAAAATACACACACACTTGTTTAAAAATTTCATTGAACCCTTGATCAAGAAATTAGTTTATTTTTAGAAAATAACATTGGCCAATTAAAGTTGGAGTGAAAGACATAGAATTTCTAGCCCTGTAAAGTGCTATGGGGTGGTATACAAGCTTAAATGCTATTACTATGATATTGCTATCATTATGAAGTAGATGTCTTAATTACTGTTTGAGATGCTAAGTCACTGTTGCTTTTAACTACATAAACAATCATGACATCATGTATACACTAAAAAGAAAACAAAAAAACATCTAAAATGTCAGATATGCAGTACTTACCAACTTATTTCAAAATTTAGAGTTGAAAGCTCTGCTTGATTAGAAATCCAAATGATATTATATTTTTTGAAAATATAAGTTTTTGTTACTTATCATTTAAAAGAATTAGAAGTGGCATGAACTCTTATATTATCAGGTGCTACATTTTTTTTATTTTCATTGATTGTATCAAGACATGAATGTTAATAATAGCAATAACACTTAGACGTATATACTGCTTCATAGTGCTTTATAGCACTCTCTAAGCAGTTTACAAAGTCAGCATATTGCCTGCAACAATCTGGGCCATCATTTTACTGACCTCAGAAGGATGGAAAGCTGAGTCAACTGTGAGCCCCATCAGGATCGAACTCCAGGCTGTAGGCAGAGTTTGCCTGCATTACTCCAGTTTAACTACTGCATAGGGCTCGTACAGTACAGGCTTACATTTTTCTCTCCAAGTATCTAACAATGTATACTTAATAAAAGGAAACATGCTTTAGAATTTATTTTTGTTTGTTTTGTTTTTGTATCATTACAGGTGTATTGACATATTGGAATTATGTGAACAAGAAGATTTGATGAGGTTCCACTATCATACTTTAAAGCTATATAGTTCTGTTTGTGCTCTGGGTAATAATAGAGTAGCTCATGCTCTTTGCAGCCATGTGGATGTTTCCCAATTATTTTACACAATAGATAATCGGTATTTGCCTGGACTTTTAAGGTCTGGATTCTATGACTTGTTGATTAGCATTCATTTAGAATATTCCAAGGAAGCAAAACTCATGATGAACAATGAATTTATCACTCCTGTTACAGATGAAACCAGAAAAATCCGATTATTTCCAGAGGGATCAAAGAAACATGGCTTGCCTGGAGTTGGACTTAGCACATGCTTGAAACCAAAGTTTAAATTCTCTACTCCTTGTTTCATTTTGTCCAATGATGATCATCAAAAGCCTAGTCCAGAGATACCACTAGAGATCCTTAAGACAAAGACTATAAGCATGTTGACAGAAGCAGTCTACTGCAGTGGAGCACATATACGAGACCCTGTTGGAGGGAAAGTTGAATTCCAGTTTGTTCCTGTCCTGAAACTTATAGGAACTTTGCTTAGGATGGGAGTTTTTGATGATCATGATGTTAAACAGATTTTGCTTCTGATTGAACCATGTGTATTTGGTGAGAGCAAAGAAGACGTAATGGAGCAAGCAGAGAAAGAGGATGTTAGCCAAATAGAAGAAAAAGCAGTAGAGGCTGGTGAAAAGGCCATTAAGGAAACTAAGACCCCGATAAAGGGCTTGCTGCAAACAAGATTGCCAGAGTCAGTTAAACTTCAGGTATATTATGTTACTGAAACACCACATACAGTATTCCACTGTGTTCTCAGTTTTTCATTAGTCCTAATATATAACTTGGAATAAATCAATTCTATCTATTTATCCTTGATAAATGAGAAAAATACATATTTATAATATTTATTAGTACAAAGAACTGGAAAACATGGTGAAGTAGATATATTTACACTGATTCTCCTCCACTCTTGTGTAATTCATACATGCATATTAATAGGCAAATGAGAGACTGGGTTGAATAGAAATAGCTATCACTAGATTTGCAAATATGGTATGTGTGCAAAGACATACAAGCATTTGCATGGTTACAATAGGTAGGCTGAAGCGGCAGTTAAACTATTATAATTGCTATAGATATTGGCGTCTGGAGTGTTATCCAGATCCTAAAACCTTTACTCATGAATGTGCCATTTTATTGCAGAAAAAGGTATTTTTAAAACTAAAAAGAAAGCTAGGAAATTTGGATCAGAGTAGTATTGGTCCAGATGTGGCTATCAAGCTGTCAGTCACTGTCCTCGTCACTTGTTTGTTCAGTGGATTATATCTGGAAGGAGAGGGCCACTCCCAGATTTTCTGATTACTACATCCTAGGAAAATGTAGATTTATAGATTCAGTAATGCTGTTGAATGAAATGTAACAATGTTTATTTCAACTGGAAAATTCCTTACACTAGTGAAAGGACAGTTTGGATTCAACTAAGTCTCCTTTTTCATTGACCACAAAATTGAATTTCCACATATAATGATGTGTATTGCCCTCAGATTTAGAACTGTATGAGACCAATATATATAATTCACCTGTATATTTCATTTATTCTTTCATATTAGATGTGTGAGCTGCTCAATTACTTCTGCGACTGTGAGCTGAAACACAGAGTGGAAGCTATTGTGTCATTTGCAGATACCTTTGTCTTAAAGCTACAGTATAATCAGAAATACAGGTATAATGAACTGATGCAAGCCTTGAATATGTCTGCCGCGCTGACTGCCAGGAAGACAAAGGAATTTCGCTCTCCTCCTCAAGAGCAGGTAGATGAAGATCATTCGTCTGTTCTAGCAGGAAGTATAGAAACAGAGAAAAGAGCAAAACCTTCAATAACCTTAAAATGCAGCATCTATTACAAAGCTCTCTCCCCTATACAAAAACCTGAGCAATATTTCTTTACTATCCAGTAATAGTGTAGAATTAGAATAAAGAAAGCTGTCGCTTTAAACTTTCAAACTTTTTTTTTTAGTTTTCAACAGAATTTCTGAGAGTTATAAAAAGGGATTTAATTTAGGAATTTAGAAAACTGTATTGCTATATCTTATTGGCAACATTATAGATTGTTGGACAACACTATATCCAAAATTATTGGAATGCTATTTAAAATATCTAGCATTTCTAATGCTGGCCATACAAATAGAAGGAAAGAGAATAAAAACATAATCCTGTGTTAAAAAAGAAATGGAAGAAAAAGGAAAATTATTAGTGGCCTATCTCTCACAGCTGTTGATGAGTTTTCAAAAAAAATGTTCTTCTAATGGATTGAAACAAAAGTTAAGGTGAAAATCTGAATATAGTACAACCCTAGTTCTAATTTTAATGTTATAATTTCAGATTAATATGCTACTGAATTTTCAGTTGGGGGAAGATTGTCCTTGTCCAGTGGAGATTCGGGAAGAGCTATATGAGTTTCATGATAAGCTCCTAATTCATTGTGGTAGGTAGAAGGCATTTATTTTGGTGAGTGGTCATATTGTTCCTGTGAATTGTTTGTCTGTGAAACATTACTACTTACAGATCTTCCATTGTTATTGTATTTTTATGGGAAACCTAATATAGGCAAAATAAAATATATTTCCAATATAAAAAATAATTTGAATGATTACATATTTTTGTAGCAATAGATCACACTGAGTTGGTTCTCAACATTTCTCATTTTCCTCAGAAAAAATGAAGTATCTCTTAGATGGAGCTTAACTCCTATTATTATTATATGGATATGTCCATGTAGTTTCTTGATAGCAGAATAAGAAATGGTTTGTTATTGCTGTTCAATAGGAAACTTTTTTCAGCCATTAATATTTCAATTGGTAATCTTCCATCAAAGTGTTGATCAGATCCAATCTATTTAATATTTTCAAGATTAATTAAGGTCAGTTGGGTGCTACCACCTGCTGCCACTTATTAATTTCCTTTACATAATTTAATGTCCACTGTCCTGTTTTGGGCCTGGAATCTCCAGAATCCACACAGTACAGTATGGTTATCTTCAATTTCCAATTACTTTTCCTATTCCTGATGCTTCTTCTGTCTTCAATAAGTCCATAACAAAACTGAGCTACATTTCAGTCTAGTTGGTTCATTGAGCAATCACTATATAGTCAAATGAAAATTATTAAAATCCTCATTCAAGCAGTTACCTCACCTGTCCCACTCATTAGGGTTTATTATGTTTTTTTGCAATGAAGTTTCCTGATCCTTTTTTATTTTCACTGGCAGCCCTTCCTTGAAGAATTATGCTTGTTTAATTACTGCATAAGACGCATAAAGATGGTTCTTTGATTATTAGAATATTGCTAATGTATTATTTTTGTTCTTATTACCTTCTAGGTATTCCATTAGAAGAAGAAAAAGAAGAGGAAGAAAATATTTCATGGGCTGGAAAACTATGTTCTTTGATATATAAAATAAAAGGAATACAAAAAACAGAAAAGAGAGAGGCAACAGAAGAAGAAGAAAAATATCCTAGTAAGAATTTAAATTCATAGCAGTATTCCTTAAACTAAATGATAGCTGTGGATGAACTATAACTTTGCAACGTCTCATGCACAAGAAGTGCTATCTCACAGGGAAGAAGAAATCTAGAGTCCAGTTCATCTGGAATTTAAATTAAGGAATGAATCAGCTATCCAGTCTAGAACTATGCCATATGTCAGGGGTGTCAAACTGCCAGCCCGGGGCCGGACGCGTCACCAGAAGGCGCACCCACCCCATTGCCAACAATGGCAAAACCGTCCCAATACATTGTGCGACGTCACATGACATCGTGAGTTTGACTTGTCTGCCATATGTCATGGTTCCATTTTAGGTATGGACTTACAAGCCCCAAACTGATGAGAGTTCTAAATTAGTATTAGATTCAGGTTGATCAAATAATGGGCTGAAGGAATACAGACCTGTTCTATCAATTTATTTATGAAAGGAAGCTTTTTACTGGAGAAGGGATGTAATTGGTATGGTTTTACTGCTGTTATCTATGATGTTTTTGTTTAATTTTAGATTTTACCAGGGATGTTTGAATCACTGTGAAAGTTAGTTTGCAGAGGAGATAATAAAGTTTCTTGATCTCCATTTCTGATAATAGGAAGACAAAATATAACACTATGTATAACTTTTTTATAACAAAAGAAATGCTTTTTTCTTGGTCTGGGGACAGTATTATAATCTCACATAGATTTCTTCGAAGAATATAACCACTTTTTTTGTGAACAGACCATTCAACAGAGCCGTGGTGAAACACCTCTTATGTGTGTAGTACATTTTCTTCTGGGATCAGAGTCCAGAGATAGATACTCTTCAGCTTAATTAAAATTGTCTCATTTTAGATAGAGAAAATTTTGATAAAGAAAAGGAACAGCATATTCAAAAGATATTTTTCTTATCTTGTTGAACAATGTCTACACCAGCAACTTTAAGATGGGTAGACTTCAACTGACAGAATTCCCTAGCCAGGATGGGAATTGAAGTCCACTCATCTTAAAGTTGCTGAGAAACGCTGTCCTAGCTGTCTCTCTCAGGACTAAAAGAATAAAATAGTCTAATAAAAATAGCTTACCCCCTGAAGATATAATAAATTAGTTCAAAGAACCTGCCTTTCCACCTCACTGCCTACCTCAGACTCTAATTGCCCATGTTTGTCTGCAAAGACTGGTGTTCTAACCAGATCTAATGAATCATTAAATTCGGGATAAGATGATAGGCACTGCATCTTTCCTTTGAGCTGCTACCCTAATGCTTTTACAATAAACTTTCCAAACTTCCTGCTGAAAAAGCAATTAAAGCTAGGTCTACAATGCTATTTTTGTAGGAGTTCTTTTGTGTATGTTTTTTTAAAGGTATGATCTGCTATGACATGAGCTTTTTCCCTTAAATTTATCTCTCTTTTAATATTTTGTTTTGAAACCAAGCTGAGTGTTATTTGGTTGGAATGAAAAGGTGTATCTGAACATTTGAAGCATCTTTGCCAAATGTTGGTCTTATCTAGTAAACCAAGATAAAGATTGGCCTTTATCAATTTATTAATTTATCCGTTTATAATTTACTTATGTGCAAGGGCTTATGCTGCTTAAGTAAAAATGAATTAAGTGATTTGCAGCAGCATACTGCGTGGACAGGAAGAATTAAGGGAATTTTCTTTATGCAACAGTCTGAAAATAATCAATAAGTCACTTTCAGGCATTTAAGAAACCTCCCATTTTTGCTGTATGTATGGAACTCCATCTTAAAATTCTTCCTAGGAATTTGAATATCACAGTTTCATCTTTCCTCGTGCATAGAATTTAGAGGGATTCTTTTGGTTTTACCTATGAGGATTTTGCATGATTCACCTTTCTTTTAATTCCTAGTAGAACTGTAGAGTTTTAATAAACCTTGGGACTATATCTTTAGCCTAAAGTAGGTGAAAGTGCCATTTTTTATATGTTAGCTTTTCATTCTCCAATAAATCTGTTCTATAAATCTGTATTCGAAAGTATAGCTCTGTATAAATCTACAGTTCTACAGTTCCTTGAATTCAGTAGCACATATTTGAGGGAAAAAAGAATAAAATGATCCTGAAGTGATGGACAGTGTAAATGATGGCAAGTTGGAGTTTTGTTTACTGCCGTCAAAAGCCAGATATTAGGAAACACAGAAGAGTATGAGTACGTGGCTTGAATGTCTATTCGAATGGGGTGATGTGCATTTGAATTTCATGAATAGAAGTATCTCCTGTATCAGTAATACTGCCACTTGTTCTCCTTTTATTGCAAAAGGGGTAATCATTGACTTCTTCCCTCATTCAAGGGTATCCACAAGAGATTAAGAGAAGGCAGATAACAACAAGCATACATGTTGTTAGCCTGAAAATGATGCAATTTAGCTACATAAGGTCATGCATAATTGGCAGGGCTGTGACTACCAGCTGTTCCCACCCAAGATGAAATTCTAAATCCTAAACTCTTTAAGTAAACCTTGCTAATTAAAATTTCAGATTCCTTAATTACAGCAAGTTTTTAACAAGCTTTTCGTGTCAAGAATAGTTTGTATTTTTTGTTTTTAAACTTTTCCCTTTCATCTCAGCTTCTCTGAAAGAGCTGATATCTCAAACTATGGTTCGCTGGGCACAGGAAGATCAGATTCAAGATCCAGAATTAGTTCGCATTATGTTTAACTTACTTCGAAGGCAGTATGATAGCATTGGTGAGCTGCTGCAAGCTCTGAGAAAATCTTATACTATAAGCGCTGCCTCTGTGCAAGACACAATCAACTTATTAGCAGCATTGGGACAAATTCGTTCACTTCTCAGTGTCAGAATGGGAAAAGAAGAAGAACTGCTGATGATTAATGGCCTAGGGTAAGAAATAAATATTTTAATGCCTTAAAATACAGTTAAAACATTAAGCTTTATTGATTCTTAGTTATGACGTACTCCATGCCCATTTTTCAACCTGACTGGTTTTGTTACAAGACTTTCAGATAGTCATTGGTGCGGGATTTTCTGTGGCAAAGGTCCTCCAGGGCCTAAGGTGCAAGATTTTTTTCAAACCACCTTTATTGATCAAATAACACCCTATTAATGTTCTAACAGGCAAGTAACCTTCTTGTTTTCATATTAAAGTTAGTGCACGCCATCCCATGAAGACCTGAAGGATTAAGATGGGAACAGATTGTCCCTGCTATGTGATTGTTAAAAGTCAACACTGACTTGAGGCACATTATCAATACTATTTCACAATAGGTCAGAACTATTCACCTGTTTCATTTCTGATTTTTTTAAAGTCAATGCACTTATATCCTTTTAAAACTCACATACACATGTGCAATTTTAAGGAATGAAGTTATAAGAGAGTAGCTTAATCCCTCCCTTTCTAGGAGTCCTGATTCTGATTAAAAATGGGAACAAAACAAGCAATGTTTTTGAAGCTCCTCCACATAATGAATGTAATTGAAGATTTAATCCTGAATTCTTTTTCTGTTTTAACAATCTGATTTAGATTTAAAAGAACTTATCTGTGCAAACTTTGTCTCTTATTATTGAGCATGACCTCAGCAAGGTTGTCTTTCTTATGACACTAAACTTGTAATCTCTGTTACCACCTTAGAATTAGAATGTATTCTAATATTCTTTTCTAATATGTTTTGAATTTTGGAACTGAAAATGGTGCTGCTTTAAAATAAATAAAATTACTACCTTTCTTTTTTTTCTCACTTAGAGATATAATGAACAACAAAGTATTTTATCAGCATCCTAATCTCATGAGAGTCCTGGGTATGCATGAGACAGTTATGGAAGTAATGGTAAATGTGCTTGGAGGAGACAAATCTCAGGTAATTTCGTTAATATTTGTGGTGTTTCATGCTTACTATAAGTAAGAGGTATAGTATAAGTATGCTATGCACATGTAATAAAGTGCAACCTATTGACTGAATCCAAAGTGCCATGAATTGAATGGATATCAATCTATACAGGTAAGCCAACAACCACACAAGGGATCACAGCACAATAAACCATTGTTGACTCATTTCTGACACAAAAAGGAGAAAACTACTTAAAATAGGGAGATGATAAACAGATACAATATTCATTGTACAGTAGAGTGGCAGTTCAGTCTTTTCAATTCAAATAAAAACTTATGAAACGAAGCTTCACTGAAAAAAGAAAATTTATTCCATTTTAGACCGAGAGCTGCTGCTGTTATTAATCTCTGTTTTAGTTTGCTCTGTCTTATGAATGGCTGTTTGCTTATCTGTATACACTGTAATCTGTATTTATTATAAATTCATTATAAAATGAAATTTAGTTCATCATTAGATTGTATCTATAACCTGTCAAAAATTAGTTTATATCATATACTTGCCTCTTTATGCTTTTGTGATTATTAGAGGAAGTTTGATAGTAATGGATTACATATTTTGTTCTTCAAATATTTAGTGTGAAAATAATTTCACATGACTTTCTCATAACCAAATCTGAAAGTAGAAATAAAATCACAAGATTTCTGCTATATTTTTTCTAATATGTGACACTATGTTCCACTGTGAAGCTAATTACTTATTTTTAAGACCGTTGGCTGAATGTCACAAATCCTGCAATGTAGTTATACAAATGTGATATACATATTGTTAAAAAATGAAATGCTTTTAATTTAATGCAGATAACAAAAATGGGAGGAAATGATACTTTCTCACTGAGAAAAAAATAAGACATGTTCCCATTTTAATTCTTTTCTCAGACGCAATCAGATGATACAGTGTTAAAGTTAGTAAGAAAAAAATCCTCATAAAATAATTGCCTGCTATCAACAAGATTTGGTGCAATAGAGTACCATTTATTTTTATTCAAGCTGCTGAATTCTAAAGTAATTTTAATGCAGATACTTTAGGAGGTTTAATGATTACTGTGGTGCTCTGCAATTTGACACTTGAATGATTGTGGCATTTTTCTCAAAAATGTAAATGACTAATGTTTTAAGATGTCAGGAAAAAAATTGCTAATGGCTTTGAGTATTGACCCAGACATGTCCTCCATAATGCAAATGCTTTTAATATTAGATAGAAATTGCTGGGTTTTCACATCTGTTACTACATACATAATAATGTAGAAATATTTTGAATTTCTCATAAATATTTGGATGATTGAGAGATAACTTCTCCAAAGTCAGCTAATGATTTTGTTGACTTGAACCTGGCTTTTCACAGTCCAAATCCAGCACTTTAATCA